GATGTGGTTACTGGTTCCTACCGCTGAAAATCAGATTAGATGTATTTACTTTTAGAATTCCCGAATTACGACTTAGCTGCTGCTCAAGATAATAATTAAGTTATACACCAATAAAATTGCCGCTATATTCCACATAATTAGCGGGGTTATTGTACATGTAAACCCAGTGTGAAAGAAGAGCGTATGAAAGACAGTATAGCAGGCACGTGTATATGTAGTAAACAAGGCATTGTACTACTATTGTGTTGTTCCAAATATTATCTCCTCCTCTTCTTCTCTCCTCCTCTTCTAGCCTCCTTCTCCTCTCCTCTCTCTCTCTTTCTAGCCTACTTACTTTAGGTTACTTTAGCCTCCTTCTCCTCTCCTCTTTATCTCTTTCTAGCCTACTTACTTTAGGTTACTTTAGCCTCCTTCTCCTCTCCTCTTTATCTCTTTCTAGCCTACTTACTTTAGGTTACTTTATTCTCCTTCTCCTCTCCTCTTTATCTCTTTCTAGCCTACTTACTTTAGGTTACTTTAGCCTCCTTCTCCCCTCCTCTTTATCTCTTTCTAGCCTACTTACTTTAGGTTACTTTAGCCTCCTTCTCCCCTCCTCTTTATCTCTTTCTAGCCTACTTACTTTAGGTTACTTTATTCTCCTTCTCCTCTCCTCTTTATCTCTTTCTAGCCTACTTACTTTAGGTTACTTTATTCTCCTTCTCCTCTCCTCTTTATCTCTTTCTAGCCTACTTACTTTAGGTTACTTTAGCCTCCTTCTCCCCTCCTCTTTATCTCTTTCTAGCCTACTTACTTTAGGTTACTTTATTCTCCTTCTCCTCTCCTCTTTATCTCTTTCTAGCCTACTTACTTTAGGTTACTTTAGCCTCCTTATCTCCCCTCCTCTTTATCTCTTTCTAGCCTACTTACTTTAGGTTACTTTATTCTCCTTCTCCTCTCCTCTTTATCTCTTTCTAGCCTACTTGCTTTAGGTTACTTTAGCCTCCTTATCTCCCCTCCTCTTTATCTCTTTCTAGCCTACTTACTTTAGGTTACTTTATTCTCCTTCTCCTCTCCTCTTTATCTCTTTCTAGCCTACTTACTTTAGGTTACTTTAGCCTCCTTATCTCCCCTCCTCTTTATCTCTTTCTAGCCTACTTACTTTAGGTTACTTTAGCCTCCTTCTCCTCTTCTCTTTGTTAACACTGTTTAGAGCTGGAGTTATAGTTATAATAACAGAGGAGACTACTAATAGCGGGTTACACTAATAGCCTGATAATATGGGTATAGTTAGAGTTAGACACCCGATAATAAGTACACTAATTGTGGGGTCAGGATTTTAGCTCTAACAGGTTCTGAGCCGATGTGATATTCACAGGCTGACAGGAAAACTCTTTGATAGGAAATACTGATGTGGTGATATTTGAGGTGTGTCATATAACTTGATATTAGTTTTAGAGTACTCGATACTTGTTTTAGAGCTAGTGGGATCCTGACAGTTTAACGATACAACACTGAGTCTATCCTATACCAGACACAGTCACGCGTCTATTTCTAACCAGCCACGTGTTAATCAGATAACAGTCACGTGTTAATCAGATATCAGTCACTTGACACGCCCGATGTAGATCACATACCTCTTTTAGTACAATGTATAATATTATAGTATACTGACCTCCACAAAATGCTAATTACTTGGAGCTAGTCAATTAGTGTGTCATTAGTAAATCATTTACCGAGTACTGGGTAATTGCGCATTATTAAGCAGGATCTCTGCCTCTGATGAATGGCATTCAAGTATCTTCTTATCTGGACCACCAAGCAGTCCAAGCAGTGCTAAGTTTGAAGATCTAGTCTGGAAATTGGATTGAATATCCAAGTATTTTATTGGTATCTTGACTTAATGTGGTGTAATCTTACAGACTAAAAGAGCTGAAATTAATTGGGTTCGGGTTTGTGGAGAGGTACTCTTCTCCGTGACATTCCAGTATTTCCTTATCTTGCTTATTGAGACCACCAATCAGTGCTTAGTATAGAGCTTTAGTCTGGAGGTAATAACCATTAAGTTTAACAAAGTATTTTACTGGCGTCTTGGCTACAGTATATACCATGATATAATGTAATTTAACCCAAGAAAATATCAAGAGCTGTCTATGAAATTAATTGAGCTAGGGATTGTGTTGTGGAATCCACTCTACATCTTAGAATGCATTGGAATGAGTTAGATTAGCGATTTCGACTCCATTTTTGATTAAACACAGGTTTCTAAATCACTATTATATGACCTTTAATCGGGAGATTATGTTTTAACGGCAGCGTTAGTATCGAGTACCCGGGTTTAAATGCGCCAACATGTGATGTCCCGTATCAAATTAACAAATTAGTTGACAAACCTCACACTCATGACGTACATAAATTATGAAGTAATATTTTAAAATAACCCTGAAGTAATACTGTTATTAATCTTTGGTCATGTTAATTACATTCTTGTTATAACACTGTACAATCCACAGCTCGTAAACTTGTCCCTCACACCTGTTTATACTTTATACCGTATCATGTATGAGGAAGCAAACCTGCCCTATAATAACCAGGTCACAGTCCAATAACACTAATAATAGGTTGAATAATGTGCGGTAATGTGCGGTAATGTGCGGTAATATGCGGTAATGTGCGGAGGAAGTGTCACACTACCTGACCACAAGGATCACACGACCTTGTTATCAGGGAACTGACACTAGGGAGGCAGTGTACACTACACACTACACGTACTGCTGATATCTGACTCTAATTATCGTTAATGTGACTACTGGTCGACACATCTACTCCTCCTTGACTCCCCTCTACACCTCCCCTGTGTACTGTGTACTGTGTACTGTGAGATAAAACTTAGAAGGGGAGAAAACTTTTGTTAAAATTTACCTCCTAAACATTCTTTAAATCATTCAACAAACCTTTAAGATTGATTAAGACAGAAGATATGCTTTGTCCCAGTACATTGTACACTTTACACACTGTTTTGCAGGGTGCAAACACCTGGTACTTTAACAGTTTAAATTACTAGGTCGTCATGGTGTAGCTGTAGTCTAGACTTATTATATGGTGGTTACCATGGTGACTGAAGACAGGTTGATAGTTACCATAGTAACTGATCTATATAGGCAATCACTATAGACGTCTCTGTAGATAGTTACCAGTACAGTAGCCATGGTTACAAGTCTAGTTGTCATGGTAACCAGTTTGGTTGTCGTGGTAACTAGAGTAGTCGTCATGGTAACATAGACACATTCCTACACACTTCAGCTAGTTCTCTAGAGGTAGTTCTGGTAACATTTCATGTACATATATTTTAGTGTGTAAGAAAGTTTAACAGTTCAAGAGTAAGTGTTCAATTATTCAATGTGGTCGAGTATTGAGACACAGTGGTACCTGACAACAACTCCTAGCTCATTATTTACTCACCATCACATACTCGAACTGGCAGAACAATGTCCCCTCAATCTATTACCACCACAGATTGGTTAATGGCGATTGGAAATACATTAATACATTTTTAGTATGTACATTATCCATAAATGTTTACTTAGTAGAAGCCTGTTTCTTCTATTAAGTACATGCTAAGTTTCTACATAACCACTTTGAGGATCAGCAGTAATACACAATAAACAAGCACCAATAAAATCTGCTTTTGGTCCGAATGGTTACGTTAGAAATTATAAAAAGTAAGTGCTTTCAAACTCTACACTCTACAGCATCCTCTGTTATTAGTACGTGCAACATCTCCCCCACTTTACAATTGGTGTGTCATGTTGGCAGACGAGGTGTTTATGCCAAACCCTGTGAGAAGCACGGCTGGGATAATGGCTTAATCAGTTAACACCTGTCGGGTGATTAACTCATTAAGTAATTAGCAGAGTAATTAAGTAACTAGCAGAGTACACACCAAGTCTCCGGGATCTCATGAGATGTCTGGGAGTTCCCTGTGATGGTAAGAAAATGTTCAGATCTACCATTACATTGTACTTACTTGCGTAGATACAAGGAAACGCCAGCTTGGATAGTATCAAAATAGTTTTATTTAAGACGATAATTGAAGAATTGAGGATAAATCGATGACGGAGAAGTTTAACATCCTGCTTTACTTAGTTACTTGGTAGGCTATATTTTCTATTTAGGTTTTTAGTAGGCATGGTCGGGAGTTCGTTACTGAACAAAAATACACGCTTATCTCATCTACAACAAAGGACACTTAACTGCAGCAGTTAGATTATAATTAATCATTAACTATCTTCAATCTTCATGATACTCACAAGAAAAAGTTATAAATAACAAATCATATATTTTTGAATTTACAGAGTGGTTTCATGGATCGCGTTATATCTTTAAGTCTTTGTATTGTACAATTTACTTGAGATGTAGCTGAGTTGGTTAGTAAACAATAGTAACTCACCTGTTTTGTCTTACTATGCAGAGTAATTTAACATTTGTAATTAAAGTTAGCTTAACAATACAACTAATGATTACGGCAAACTGAAAGTTTCTCGTGATGATTATGACCATCGTTGCCAACCTTCAATAGTAACTCTTTACTTATCTTAGCTGCTCTGCCAGATCACAGAACTCTGCCAGTCTGCCACCATGTCTGAATCCTCATGAGAGGTGATGACTGAAATTAGTCACCATGTACCCTAGATACTCTAGATGTGTGTCCACATATTTACCGTCCATCCAACCAAAAAGACCCGCGAACCAGTCATTAGAAACAACTTGATGGAAGGCGCGGCTTGATGGTTAGATATAAAAGTTGAAGGAGCACATTACTCATTAATGTGCAACTACCACATGTTTGCGCGCGCAGGAAATATCGCTTGCGATTTCATCATCGTAGACAAGATTAATTGCAGTCTAATTTTTGCATTTACCATCATAACAAAATGACTATCATAACAAAATTACAACAGATTAAACAGACATAGAACCAATCTGGTTTAAACCCAATAATCTTAAATCGATGTATCTTTCAGGAATGCGACCTCTCGAATCAGTCCTGAAAGAGTTACAGTTATACCCGTATGAGTATTGGGCTAAGCAAGTCCCTAAACTCACTACAGACCAGCAGGTAAATACAACAGTAACTTGTTAGAGATTCTGTTATCTATTGTACCCAGAGTTAGGACGATTTTGCTATCAGCTGGATGGGATTTATTAGGTTATCTTTTAGCTAAACAATTGAGGAAATACACGACGTTTTAGTGATAAGAATAATGTTCATTAATACATTTGTAGATTTAACTGTGACAACGGCTTTATAGTTATTTAACAGAAAATATGTTAAAAATGCCCAGCAAGAAATTACGAGTAAAGAGAAGACTTTTTAAAAGTTTCAATGTCAGAGAATATTGTTTTTTGGAAATTTGTCGTATTTTTTTTTCTTCCGCGACTAATTTTCCAGGAAGAAGCATTCTGTAGAACTTATCACAGGAACCACGTGATCTTTGAGATGTCCGTGCAATTAAACCGTTCTGTGTTTTGGGCAGTCTCGACATCTAATGTAGAAGCACACTGTCTAGTGTCTGATCTTGACAGACAGTCTAGCTGCAAGAAATATGTATGGCAAGAAATGACACGAAATATGTGAAGATAACAGTAGCTGGTATAACAGTTTCTTGTCCGTTATCTAAGCAGATAGTTTGCCGCTGTCTATATTTACTCATTACTGAGTAGTTCTAGGGTTACAATAGTTTTAGGGTTACCGTTTTCACGGTCGGTTCCTACGCCCTTCAGTGGTTCACATACTGTCTAGGATTGCGGTATCCTTTGTTCTGAATTTATCTGTCGGAATTTTGTTTCTGTGCCCAATCTTACGAATTGTCCAATTAAATGTCTCGTGAATTTTGCCAGACGAAAATAATTGTTGGTCCGTTTTTATTATTTATTTTACTGATAAAGTTGTTTTCGCAAATAAGTTAATTGATCAACATTATGCCTTCCTAATCCCTATTAAATGTCTTGGCTTTTTTCCAGTTAATCTAATAAACGTGCAAAGTAATTCAAATCATTTTCACAACAATTAATTAAATACGTTTATTGAGTATTGAGTATTATGTGCAAATGGAATGGGAACGCTTAAAGTTTTAGCCAGGTTTAGATCTAGTCCACAGCCCACACCCTCGCTCCATAATACGAATAATTTGTTTTACTTCTAGATGAAAAGCTGTAATACATAATGTTAGAATTAGGATTGAAAGTCTCACACTCATGTGACTGAACAGTAGTTGTACAGCTGAACAGCTCGCAATGAGGGCCGCATTAATGCTGTCTACATCAACCACACTGCATAATATAACACTCTAACTGTAGAACTCTTCACTTTCACTGTATAACTCTTTCAGGTAGTTGCACATGCCTTGCAGCAGTGTATTGTTCTCACCCAGTATTACGTATTACTGTTTCATCCGATACAACCGGGTGCTACTGAAGCTAAGAACTTGTTTATGCAATGGCAAGCTGGTGAGTTTATGATTTCTTAGCGTTGAATTTCAATTTATAATAGTGATGATTTGATTTTATACCAAAATAGGTTTTTAATTAACCGAAAATATTATTCAATCGGTTATCGGTCTATGATCGAATTTATTTCTTTACGTTCTGATTTTATCGACACTGTTACACAGCTCTTTTCTTAATTATGGTGTCTTATTTTCATGAGAACTGACTACAATTTATCTATGCTTATATTTCATTTATAAACTCGGTAGTTCGTTAACGGAACCCTTAGCCTTGACAATTAAACTGGTTTGACATTAACACTGGTAACCAATAACCATAACAGACCCACTCTCAACCATGACAACTACATTGGTTACCATGAAAACCATACTTTTCGCGCAATGCGATACCTCATAATTTCATATACGGAATTTTCCGCATGTTTTAAAATAATTCTTGTCGGTCGCATACTTTGGGAACGAAATCAAAAAGTCGGAAATGAGAGCTTTTTTGAGTATCTGAATTGGTTTTAACGCATATATTTAAAAATATTCGTGTAGGTACATTTGAGTCGATGAGATGGAACATTTTTTGTCGATGAGTTGGCAATTGACATATTTTGAGTCGATGAGTTGGATATTTTCAGTCGTTAGTTGTGAGACCTACTCACCTAGCAGTTTCCGCGTTCTATACCACACTGGGTAGATGACCATTTCTTATTTAAAATTTCTTATTGCAGTCAAGGCTCATGAACAACCAATTACCGATACTGAACATGTTTACGGTTGTTATATAGTTCGTTAACCACTTTACCACGTCATGAACTGTTAGTGTTCATTTTAAACGTCAGACTTCCCGTTCTTCTTCTAGTATTGATAGTTTGCAACCTGATTTTGCGTCTTCTCGAGTTCATGACTCGAGAGTTTTCAATTTATGAGAGCAGTGGAAAGCTTTTCAGTAGAGTTTGTAACTTGATTGTTATTCATGTTACAAAGTCTGCAAAGAAAATATGGCGAAATTGCTCAAAACCCACCACATTTTCCCGGTCGCCATTTTACCGGTGTCCAACCTTTCAATTTTAGATTCAAAAATTTTGTCTCAGATGTAAATTTCCTTTTAGAGATAAGCAAGTTTAGAAATTTTCGCATTGCTAAAACTTGTGAAACAAGTCGAATGGTAGTCTGCTGGTAGTCTGCTGGTTAGTAACGTGTTGGTAGGTCTAGCACTCTAGCAAATTAGTTGTTTTGAATTAGCATTAAATGTTTACGTGTATCAAATAACCCATTATGACTCAAAAAAGAATGCATCGTTCACATTTTTTAGAATTATGAATAAATGACTGATGAAACTGATTCATGTTATTGACAGTTTTAATTAATTCAAATTCAAGTTTTATTAACTGTTACTTTTACTTTGAGTCCTATTTCATTATGTAGAGATAGTCAATACCTAAGAACGAAGCGCCCAATGATAGTGCGTCTTACATAATAGCGAAAAGTAATATATCAATTAGACCTACACGTCTTCTCGTTTGTATGGTAGTTATTTCTTTATTTGAATCGGGCATACTACATATGTTAGTATTTTAGCATTTCATCGGGAAATAAGACTATCACTAAACTTATATCACTATCTTATGAAGCCACGGTTTAGATCGGCTAAGATAATGTTGAATATACCCCATTATTATTTGCAAGGAAATTAAATTTCCACCACATCGACAGTTTAAGCAACAATAAAGCTGCTGCATTCCGTCTTGCGAAGACGAGATCAGATCCAACCTGACGTTGTATTGCTATTTGCTAACAGTAACATAATGCAATGAAAACATAGTTTGCAAAAATTGTCGCAACCGCTGTATAATTAAATTAAACTAAATGGAAAGTTGCATTCCCTTTAATTTCCTACAGTATTCAGATCCCTCAACTAAATGACTCCTTTGTCACTTTGTACTAATAAAAACTTTGTACTAATAAAAATAGGTATAATAAGGAATAAAAGGATACATCATTTCAGATGTGATTAATATGTAGGCTTAGAGGCAAACCTCCAAAAAGTCTCATAATAATATTATTTAATCGTTTCCTTTGATTTGTTGCTATTACAAGAGTCGCTTAAGCATGCCAGGACACATTATTTACTGCCAGCACGTACTGTATACAAACTGCAGCGACACAGTCACTCAAATTAAACAATATGGTTTTAACACTATTGATAAGAGGCCGAGTTCATGATTGAAGTTGATTGGTATCATAAAAATCTGCCGCCATCCCCCTCAGAAATGCGGAGACTTCAATCATCTACGTGATAGACTCTGATCATGATAAACAGTCCATATATTATATAATGTAGTAATATTGAATAAATCAATTTATTAATTCCCTTTACTACCGGTATACTACCGGGCGTTTAGCCTGTACGTGGAAGTTTAGTCCAGTCTAGTAATATATTTCATGTAAGATCTAATCATGCTATAATGTATGATATTTTCACTGTGAGTCGCCGTAGAATTTGATGATTTTAGATTTTCACTGTGTAGTGTGTTCAGTCACATTACACTGGCTGTACACACAACTAGGCTTACTTTTCTCTTTCGTGTTCAAATATCCCTACTCATCCTCAGCTTATATGTCTCAGTAAATAAAGCCGTGACTGAGCCTATAACATCATTATATTATATCGATACTGTGTCTTACAGCCTGAATGTACTAAACTGGTAAATGACGCAGCTCTGTGATTGCTAATGCCCGATCTTCTCGGCCCCTTATACTGTCTTTGCCTCTTAATTCGGCGCTTTTTGTACGGTATCTTAGCCCTTATCGCTGGCCGGGTACCTGGAGTGAAGTTTGACATGCCATCATTTCCTTGTTCCTCGTGACCAGTGAGCACTTTGTGACGCCATTATTAGAGGATAGTGACGTAACACTGCAGGCCATTGATTGTGAGTTACTCGTGCAGGAAACTGCTCGAATATTAATGTATTTGTTGCTTTGTTATACATACGAATAATATAAAAATACACATTGTCTTAGCTTTAATAAAGTACTCAGCTCAGCATGCTTATTTATGATTGCTGTTAGGTGTGATGCGCTACAAGCTCTCGTAAAAGCGCTAGTTGTCTGCAACTGTGTTGGTACAGTGTGGTCCGTTACAGTTGGCACCCTGGCACGTGTGGTACTGTCAAAGCACGTGCAGTTTAACAAAGCCGCGCGATGGCTCCATCCTATCTGCCAACACTTTCATGTTTAACTGGCGTTTTAATAGTCTTTGCTCGATGTTTTTAACCCTACTCGTTTTATCGTTCAGTTTGCTTACGTAATTTTTTCGATCTTCTAGTTTTCTGCCGTACGGATTGCTGATTTATCATTCCGATCGTATTAACTAGACTTATACTGGAGCGATGACAGCCTTATCAGCCAACGGGGGCGGTACTGAATCATTAAACTTATGGAACTTATTTATACGCCAGTGTAAGATCTCTCAGACACATTAACTTCATCAAAGTATTAATGCTATAGCCTTCATCCTATAGTTATAGGGGCTAGATTTCCTTGTACTCGTTTTCATGGTTTGAATTTTGCCCGGACGTGACTCCGAAAGACTCTTCATTAGTCATTATCTCATCGGACTATAAGTTTACCAGTAATATGTTAAACTTGATCGAGGAAATGTCTCGCTCATTCCCAGTTTAACATACAGTTGACTTTCCTTTATCATTATCTCTGGTGTTATCAGCACGTGTTATTTTATCAGCACGTGTTATTTTATCAGCACTTGGTTTGTTACTTTGTTAGGGCGGTAGTGTTAACACTAAACATCAGTACCACTTTTAAACCTGTACGTGTAGTAATAGTAGCTCTATAACACTACACGAATCCACCAGTAGTAGCTGGGTGATGGTGGTACAGGAGCCTATACGAAGAGAGGATGTTATGAGCCGTCACTCTGTCTCTGTGCAGAGTGAGTGATACATAGTACAATGTACTTACTGAAACATACACTGACTGATATACAGACATAAAAACATACAGACATACCGACTTACTGACGTACTTACATAAAGATTCAACTTAAAGACTTACACTGAACACGTTGACAGACAAACTCACAGACAAACATCGTATTTATCCGACCATTAGCACCATCACGAGAACTCGCTGTCTGAAGAAGTGACTTAAAACGAACAGACAGATTTTGAGATTTACACTCAGAATTTCAATCAGACTTTACGGACACCAGTGCGGACTGAGTGATACGAACACACCAGATATGAAATTACACAATACATGTACTGTGACTTACAGCCACTTTTTGTAGACAGACTTTACTGCAACCAAAAGAATTACAGTACAATTCACCAAGATTCCACCTCTAAAAACCTCTAAATATAGAGCTGTAAAACGATGACGTGATTTCAATTTTACCGACGACAGAAACGTCTCTCCAACGTTGTCTCCAGCAGGAATTGTCTGGTAACTAATTCAACCCATTTTCAGCTCGAGTCAATACAGCTACTGAGTGCGAAAAGCGAGTGAGTACTATGTTTTTACTTTGCATGCTTTTAAAAGTTTAAATGTTTTTTGACCTTGTTACTTTGTTATCAGATCTAAGTGCTAGCAAGAGTCCTGATTTTCATATTGTTCATTTTTCCAGTCCCATCTTATAACTCGTTCAACTTTGTATCTGACGAAGGAAGGAAATTATTGGCGAAAACGTTATATTACCCTGTATATCTTGTCTCAATTTATCTCTCCGTCGTCAACCGAAAAAACAGCAAACGTTGAGGATCATGTGCCGTTATAACTTCAGCTCTAAAGATAAGATAGTCAGTCTCCAAGGAGATAAGAAGTCTCCAAGTAGATAGTCAGTCTCCAAGGAGATTCCACGTGGAGGTTCCACGGAAATACCACAGTACTTCCGCCGAACTCTCGCGGAACTTTAGTCCGGCTTCTTTGATACTGCCAAATAGCCTACTATGACAAAGTGAAAGAAATTGGAAGCTTGCTTCTGAGAAACTCTTCCTCTTTATGAGTCACGTGAACCCCGTAAAGCTGATCTAATGACTGGTGACTCTTTAAATTGTATCGAGAGATAAAAATTATACCGTCAACAAGAAACACGAATAAAATAAGATATCTTTATTTTACTTATGGTACTCAAGCAATCTGCATTTGTCAGAACTTTCAGGAATGTTTTTGTTGATTGATAGAGATTTACGGAATTGCTGAAAATATTGATAAATGACATGAGTTCTACTACAGTCTACAAGTTTAGGCTATAGAACCTTCTGGATTACTTAATTAGTATTAGCAATTAGGGCACGTGAATATTAATTAAAATAGTTCAAACAATTGACGTTTCTCTTTAACATCCAACAAGTGATTTACTTTATTGATAAATTATACCGTGTATTTCCTAGCCCCTTCATAGTATTTTAAAGGGATTTTGGTAAATTAAGATGAAACAAAGGTACAAATTTCCCGGTTGATCTTGTTAACCAGTTGCAAGACAGATAAGTATGTACTGTCCAATGAAATTGTCCTGTGAACATCACGTGACACAGCCTTCACATTTTACCATTTTCTTCCTCCGACCCTTAAGTCCTGCGGTCACGTGGCTTGGCAACTCGCCAACCAGCGCGCCGCACGGCGCCCACGTGACTGTTTTTGTGTATCACGTGACAGTTTCTTCGGGTGGTAGTGGAGCTGATATGTTGGAGGAACCAGTGTATTTGGGCTCGTTAAAGCTTCACGTGATTCTTCCCTGGCAACAGAGAACTCCCTCCTATACAGCTAGAAGAGAGGCTTGTGAACTTTAGTGGTTCTTTTCTGCCGATATTAGTTATTAGTTAGTTACTTGTACTGTGAATCCTTGCCAAAGTACAGAAATACACAGATTACAGATTGCTTTGTTCATTGATTACATGTCATATTTTATATTAATCTAAAAGTTAGGATAGTGTTAATTAAATTATCAATAATTTAATCTAATTAATTTTTCACTCATTTTGATGCTTTATTAACATAATATGTAGCTTGATATACAGCGAAGGCGTGTGTTCACCTTTTATAGTGTCAGATTGTAACATTGTTGCAAAATGTCCGCATCTGTACCAGTGCATGATGCACTAGTGCACAAGTTTACAGATCATTACTCTGATTCTGACAGCAGTATTACCCAGTTTAGTAAGGTGCACCCCCGCACAACCCTGCTTACAGATTCAGTTCTTGGGACAAACCTGTTGTGATGCCCGGGGGAAACCTGCAGCAGTTTCAGAACTAATTTATCTGTCCTAACATCTGGCTCTCGTCATAGTTTACAGTCTGCATGAGATTCAGTTACAAGTCCAACTTACCAGGCTTTACTGCACGCGTTACAGAGCTCCATCCCAGTTTTACAACACCCCTAAATGTCAAGTTTATAAGCGTTCACAAATGTTTATAGACGTTTATTTTGTTCAGATATGTACAGATCCTTGGTAGTTTCACAACCGAGCTGCGGGGGTGTAGTCAGGGAGTCTGAGAGGGTGTTGAAACATAACTTCACACGGTGCTAAGCTTATACTAAACAGGCTACCTTTTTAAAGCTCGCCTTCTAATTACCTTTTGAAATTTTAATTGAGTTTTAATGTATTGCGTGCGTATTTTCTGTAATATCAGACCTTGCTTTCTCGAATTTGAACGCGCCTCTTTTATCTTTTCCATTTAGTATCCCGTGATCGTCTTCTATTTGGAATTCTCTGTTTTTTTCAACTGACAAAGACTGACATTTCGTTTGATTTATTACTTTGACATGTTGGTTACGTAGGGTTCTCATGTACAGTCCAGTTATCTGCTAAACTTCAAGTTACTTCTGTCCGGACTCCGGCTCGATTACCCAAACACTGTCTCTCGTCTTTATGAAGTCACTAAGTTTTTGTAATGCTTTTTAGTCTCGGTTTTGAGAGATACTCCGTGTGATATGAGACAGGTGAGTATTACTCGCCTGTCTCGTATCTTTGGTCTAGGTTTGTTCGAGAATCAATTTGTAACTGTACGTCTTACATTAGTACATATAGTTAGGTTCTAGGATGAAGACCTATGGATCATCCTATCTGTCTGGTTTTCTGCTGCCCTTGTACCACATTACATCAGTTCCAAACCATCCTATCATTCAATCATTCAAATTTAATGTAACTGTAACAGGTGTAAATTTAATACCAGAAGACGTGCCGAAATTGCCGCATTCATTATTGGTAATTTTTATGCTTCAGATAACACTTTAAACTGAACAGTTAAAACCCTCTTATCTCTTATTATAAGTACAAACATTTCTAAGAAGAAAAAAACATATTTTTTAAAAGAGTTTTAATATCCTGTGCCCTGGCTCTGCTTTTCGAAACACAGCTTCATAAATACGATCGAGTAATGGAGTTATTCTTACTTTAGTTATACAGCAGTAATATACTCTATCCAGCAATAGCAGCAAATCTGGGGAAACTTGGTGGACATTGACTTTTTTCACACAATTTGAGTATGTTGACTTCAACATTATGTTGCAGCTCATTGTGGTTAATCTCAATGTTGGAGTGATGTTTTTCTGGTGCACAAAACACTGCAGTACGGTTATGTTGAATAATTGTGGTTAATGGGTCATCTATGTGGCCACTATGGTGGTTAAAATACCAGTTTTAGGGTTAACCACCATTTTGAGATATGATATTATGAACTGAGTAGTCATTATATTGAGATCATATCATGGTGCAACTATCACAAAAGTTTTCAACCCTCATGGGGGGCATTTTGTGGTCCTAATGGTGGTTAAATTGAAGATGAACGGTGAGCTATAAATATTGCTCTGATTATAGATGTATAGTGGTGGTTGTTCATTTATGCATGGATGATAATTTTTTATCACAAATGTGCAATTTAATAGTATGGTTGATTTGAGGTGGTTAATATTCGTAAAAAGTGCTAAAAAGATGGTTAAAATGTCAAAATTTGTTGTTAACCACCAATCAAAACATTATTAATGATTTTAGTCAACATTTTATGGTCAACAAAGGACATTTGAAGGGTCTTGATAAAAGTTATCAAGAAATGTTGTCATAAAAGTGGTTAAAAGGGCTATATTACTTGCTAGGCTGTTGAACAAGGCATCTATTAAAGTGAAAATTAACCACAATATGAACTTCAGATAATGGTTTGCTATCCAAATGAGTGTATATTTGTTTGCAAATGCATAATTGACCCCAAGTTCATGCATTCCGATCAATGTGCAGCTAAGGTGGTTAAAATGTCTCGAAAATACCCTATATTTGCACTAATTAACCATTTTTAGAGCACATATTAGCTTTGTAAAGCTATAGCTGGCCATGCTACATTATCTAGATATAACTACCTGCTCATTTATATGACCAGAAACATTGCTGAGTCCTATGTTGCGTCCATCATGGTTAATAAAGGTCTAAAATTGACCAAAATCAGTGTTTTTGGTCGTTTTAACCGCCATACGGCCACACATTTTGTTGCATTATCTTTAAAATCACTTATTATCCTTCAGCTATCTCTCATAATCAAATATCAAAACAAAATAAGGCACCAAAAGGTCAGATTGTGCTGAATAATGGTTAATTTGTGATGGCTTCTGTTGACCGAAGGTCCAAAATCAACATGTTTTAACCACATTATGGCCACATCTAAGGTTTTATGGTATTGGGACCATAGCCAAAAGTTTTGGGCACCTGTATGGTGTACTCTGCTTTTGGAATTATGGTGATATCTCAATGCTGTGCCATTCCAGGTGGTTAAGTACGCGCGCGCGCGCACGCATACACTTTTGGGGTTTTTTGATATACCACAGTTGGTGGTTAACCATTTTACATTAAACCTTCACTAAAAGTATTGGGCACTCTAGTGGTGACATAATATATAAAGAAATTAAGCATAAACTAAAAATGTTGGCCTACAGATGGTTAAGTACGCGCGCGCGCGCGCACGCATACACTGTAACATAAACACATATAAACCACTTCACAGACCACATTTATTAACCTTTTTAATTTCTTTCTTCAACTATGTGTCGATGAACCGTTTCTGTTCAATAATGACCATAAATTTTAACTGTAACACTCATATCTTCAGTGTAGTAAGGGTTTGAGTGTTAGAAGTACAAAAAAATGTCCACTAACAAATCAGTCATATTTCGACTACTTAACCACCTAACTCAGCACCAAAATGTTCTGGGATTTATTTCGTTGCACTATCACGAAGCTATGACATTTTTGGACCTATGTAAATATTCAGATTACTAGAATTCATAATTTGTGATTTTTAAGGGGTGGTCAAATGCTTCAAAGTGGTGTATTTCAAAGTTTCCCCAGATTTGCTGCTATTGCTGTATCTGTATGGTCGTGTGTATGCTAGTGATATATCCAATATATTTGAATTGAAAAAGATCGGTAGAATAATGAATATGTCACTAAATTAAGGTGTGTCCTGATAGCAGATCATCCCCGCACGGGTGATTTCCGCTACAAGACACTCCATCTCC